TCCAAAATTTTTTTTTTTTTTTTTTTTTTTTTTTTTTTTTTTTGGTTCATATAACGAAGTATTAAGCCAAGTTCCATAAAAATCACAATAAATTTTAAGAATAAGAAAAAGTCGGGAGAAATATATTGTAAATCGGTTGGCGGGAGAGCGGTCGAAAATCGGGAGAGTCGGCAACTCCATAACAGTCTACAATTAAGCACTTTTTCCAAGATGTTTACGAAATTTCTTCTTCTGCAATGTTCGAGGATTTTGGGGATCATTGCTTGAAAGCAGATCTGCTTCAGTATAATATACTGGTATGACTAGATTCTATTATTGCATACACTTTTCAAGCTCTGTGTCTGTTTCATCTTACATTTTTAGTTGTTTTTGAATTGACAACTACTATCAAAAACTTCCTGTAGTGGCTTCATGAAACAGAATTTGAAAAGTCAGAAATTACAGAAATTTGTTTTAAGATTGGATGGTTTTATATACAGCTAACATGTATATAAACACAAAAGTCAGTCAAAATGGTTGCATTTACATAACAGAAATAACATATAGCATGTATGACAGATGTTTCAATTATATGAATGCAAACAAGAAAAATATTTTTTGTATAATCACTAAGTTTGTTCAAACATTTATTGCAGTAGGGCGTATATTTCTCAGTAAATTATTCAAAGAATTCCAATCCAACTATTAATAACTATTGTCACATTTTTGAGTTCTTCAGAATGATATAATCTCTTTATGAGTGCTTTTTTCTTAGGTTCAAACTTATAGAAAACTGTGCAGATTCCATTTTATTTCCACAGAGAAATGATGAAGCACATGCTGCGAAACTTCATGCATTTGGCAATGAACCACAGTATGGATAGACTTTCTTGCCCTCAATAATTGATTCATGGCAAACATTTCTAAGTTGGATTTACTTTCAAATGATTCAATGTGTTCACAACTGATAACGACATATCTACATCTGCCACACATTAACAACAACTACACATGTGTGTTAATGGACACATTAACAAAACTTTCTGCATAAAAGAAACTTAATTTTTGACTTACTAATGCAATTCATTACACCAAAAGTCTTAAGAATATGGGCCACCAGTGGCTGAGTGGTAAATTCTCTGAACACTGGTAGTTTGGTCCAAGGTTTGAATCTTGCAAATGGGTTAGCTGCATGGACATTTTCATAGTTTTCTCCATGTGTAACATGTATACAAGAGCATTTCCCTTAGAAAGTCCTCAACAAAGGCATCCCTCCCTTTAGGCAGATGGCCCTCGAGTGCTTTCCCACAATCAAATAAACCAAACCAAATCTTGAGAATATATGCTTTGTAGGGTTTTACTTTATTTTTCTAATAGTTATTTTTATTCTCGAACAAGCTTTTCTTCTGCCTTCTACCTTTGTTTCTCTGCCAGAATGAGTTTTGAGTATTACGCTTTATGCAAATAAGGTAGAAACTAGTATTTAAGTCTGGATGACTTCAGCTGAAGAGGGCATGTTCTGCCTATCGTCCACATTGTTGCTATTAGTTAAAGCTATTCTATGGCTGTACTTAATACGTGCTTGCTAGTATATGCCGGTTATTCTTAATTAAGGGCCAACTCTGTGAGTTTGATTCTGTGCAGCATTGGCTGATTAAATTCATATACAGTCAAAAGTCGTTAATCCGGACTCGTCGGGACTTCGGCGATTCCGGATTATCGATTTTTACGGATTAGATCATCAGTTTAAATCTCGTAAGATGGCATGCAGAAATTCTAAAATTAAAAATATGAAACCGTAATTTATGAAATAAAGAACAATTGTGATCTAAAGGGTATCAAAATTTGCATAAAGAAAAGGCTTAATATTTATTTGTTTACTTTATTAAACATTTCTTTCAATGTAAGTTGTTTAAGTTTTGCTTCGTTTCATGTGATAATACTTTCTCTTTAATTCTATTAAAAAAGACATAATTTCTTGTTCAGTTACAAAGTTCCGCTGTTCAAGTCCTATAATTGCTGTGTCGAGAACCGACTAATTTGTCAATCGAAATTTTTTCGTTTTCAATAACCTATGTCATTTTCTTCGCTATCGAAAGCGAATTATAATGACGAGGAACTTGTTTTAAATCATATCAAAGACGGAGCATATCGAGATGAAATACTACATTTGCTAAGGAATTATAAGCCAAATAAAATAAAATCATCTGCGCTGAAGATAAGGATAGTGTTGACAGATCAACTTCCAAATCATTACGCGCCCGCCGCGGCGATCCTCCCGCCGAGCAGCGTGAAATTGATAAACAGATTTCGGATTTCAAAACATACTTTCGCTTTAGATCCTTTACATATTAACAATATATATCGGAAATTCTATTTGATATAATCGAAAGTTTAAGCTTACTTTTATAAAATTGCTCTTACAGTCTGCAAAAAATAATAAGCCGGATCCAATTCGAAAATTAAAGAACAACGCAATCATCAACATTAACTGAAATAGATAATTAGATAATTTTAGCTTATACGTCCATTATACATAAAACGCGCACGCGAAAACGTATTCTGCACTTGCGCACACTCATATGCGCAGTCGTAAAAGGTCTTACGCGCACGCGTAAACGCCTATGCGCATGTGTCAACGCGGCGCATGCGCAGAAAGTTTTTAGTTTTGAGGTCCGGATTATAGATCATTCCGAATTATGGATGTCCGAATTAACGACTTTTGACTGTAGTATTAGTTTGGTTTTATATTTTCTGTTTTGAGATAAAGCCAAATAGAGGCTTCTTTAGGCTGAAGAGGGGCCATATGTAAATATATTCTGAGTTGGAATAAAAAGTGTAATTTAACTCTTCTCTGGAAGTGTTACTTACGCACACGAACTCAGTGAATAGTTGCTATACAGCTCTTCAGTATTCTAGCTTTCACAGAACTCTACTTTAGCTAGGATATTACAGCTTTTGTGAGGCATTCATGAAGCTCTGTAATGGGCTCAGGTTTATATATGAGGCGTATTCGGAAACTAAGTACCGTTTTGAAAAAGAAAAGAGTAAAACAATTTTTTCGAATCTAATTTTATTTTTACATGAAAATACATGTCTTAAACTATTTTTCAACATAGTTTCCGCCTATGATCAAACACTTGTCATAGCGGGTGACCAGTTTTTGTATACCATCGTCAAAGAAACTTCCCACCAGTTTCGATAACCACGACTCCACAGCATTTTTCGTGTCATCGTCAGATCCAAAGCGCTTGCCACCAAGCTCGTGCTTCATGTACAGGAACAAGTGATAGTCAGACGGAGCCAAGTCCGGGCTGTACGGCGGGTGATCGAACTGCTCCCAATGAAACTGTCGAATTAACGATTGAGTGACACCAGCAGTATGGGGCCGAGCATTGTCATAGAGCAACACAATTCCTTTACTGAGCATTCCTCTTTGTTTGTTTTGAATGGCACGCCTTAGTTTTGTTAAAGTCTCACAATATCGTGCCACATTAATGGTTTCACCTCTGGGAAGAAATTCAGTAAGCAAAACGCCTTTCCTATCCCAGAAGACAGAGCACATGATTTTTTGTGATGACATAGTCGCTTTGAACTTTTGTTTTTTCGGAGAACGAGTGTGTCTCCACTCCATCGATTGTTGTTTCGATTCTGGTGTGAAATGACACACCCAAGTTTCATCACCAGTCACAATTTGGTTTAAAAAGTTTTCTCCCTCATCACTGTACCGTGTGAGAAATGTCACGGAACTACCAAGTTGCTTTGTTTTGTGAACATCAGTGAGCATTTTTGGAACCCATCAGGAACACAGTTTGCGATAATTCAAGCGGTCAGACACTATTTCGAACAAAACAGTATGTGAAATTTGTGGAAATACCTCTGAAAGAGTTGTCATTGTGAAGCGCCTGTTCTCATGAATTGCTTCATCAACTTTCCTTACCAAATCATCGGTGACAACAGAAGACCCGACCACTCCGAGCCTCGGACTGGACATTTGTTCGACCTGCATTAAACATTCTTACCCACTTTCTCACCATTCCATCACTTATCGCATATTCACTGTAAACTTCTGTCACTTGACGATAAATTTCAGCTGGTTTAACATTCCTCGCATTCAAAAATTTAATCACGGCAGGAATCTCACAGTCAGCGGGATAACTAATTGCCTTAAACATTTTGAATGTGCACAGCAAACTGAAAACACAACATAGAGCAACCAAAATGGCGAAAATTGAAAGTCAGGGAACAAGAAAGACTAGTGCGCATGTGCTGGACGCCTACCACAGCGCTGCGACGGCGCTAGAATGAAACGGTACTTAGTTTCCGAATACGCTATGTATATTTAACACTGGCCAAAAAACAAAACATCTCACAGCCAATTACTTGAGTCAGCAAAATTATGAACTTCCATCTTACATCATTAGCCAATGAAGAAAATATAGGAGTAATACTACGAAAATTAGAGATCTGGGTTCATATTATATGGTGGTGTATTTAATTATGGCAAAGCACACTAGGGCTATCTGCCTAAGGGGAGGGATGCCTTTCGTGGAGGACTTTCTAAGGGAAACTGGCTCGTATACACGTTACACATGGGGAAAACCACGAAAACGCCCATGCAGCCAGCCCGTTCGCGGGATTCGAACCTCGGACCGAACTACCAGTGTTCAGCGACTTTACCGCTCGGCCGCTGGTGGGCGGGTTCATATTATAAATTCTGTTGATCATAACTAAATTTTGCATAAAAAGGCTGCATCAGTAGCCAAGCAGCTAAGACTGCTGAATATTGGTAGTTCAAACACAGTTTATATGTAACATGAATACCAGCCAGTTTCCATTAGAAAGTCCTCCACTAAGGCACCATTTCCCTCAAGCAAATAGCTCTGGCTTTGCCAAAATCAAATGAACTAACCTAAATTTTGTATTAAAAGTAAAGCAGAAGTCCATATTTTACGATGAATTTGAGTCAGTTTATATTTATTCAGTTTATATTTATATTATTCTTATAATATAAAAGAAACCTACCTGCACGGCCAGTTCTTCCAATTCTATGAGTATGAGTGTCAATATCTCTCGCAATATCATAATTCACAACTGTTTTAACATGGGTGATATCAAGACCACGAGCTAAAAAAGTTGAAAATATAATATATAAATTCGCATGAAAAAAATTTTGAAATTATTTAAGTTGGTTGTTATTTACCTGCAACATCAGTTGCAACAAGTACTGGAACTTCTTTCTTCTTAAAGGAAAGAATTACTTTACTCCTTTCATTTTGGTCAATATCACCATGCAATAAAGCCACTAAAAATGAAATGTCATCAAATAATAAAATGTCAAAAAGAAAAGAAATATAATACATTTTAAAACACTAACACTTTAATACTGATTTGATTTTAGCGTTAAAACATAATATAACATAATATACATAGATGAGATTTTCTTCATCCTTATGTGTATTTATTTCTCCACTCTTCTATTTCTTTCTTTTTTTACTAATTTTCTCATCTTAATCTGAAAATCAAAAACTAAATGTGCTCAATATAAGAGTAAGGAATGAAAGTGTAATCTTGCAAACTTTAATTGTCAATGTTTATGAAAATGGTGAAAGCAATTTTATACGAATAATTCTGGTAACCGGAAAGTAACAGATCATACATCAGTGCATTTCTTGCGGAAACATTAAAACTAAAATCTTTAGGTCAGGAAAGTGTGACTCATGGGCTTTTTGAAGGGATAGAAAAAAAGGGAACCTCATACCTCTTGAACTCAACTTTACACCTGAGTCGGATATGAAAGTGAGGTACAGAACTCGACGTATGATGAAATCTCAAAAGACTTGAACTATAGGTCAGTTGAGGTCCGTCCTCTGCTGATACTGGACCTCAAGGAGGGAGTGTCACGTTTGTGTTCTAATAACTCAGCTTCCATGAATGCCCTCTGGCGGAAGAGACAAAAAGTAGTTAGTTGAACGGGTGACGCGTCTAACATAAGTCAAAACGATAAACCGTCTCCGTATATATTAGAAACATAATGTTTGTATTCATTGTAACTTGTATATATTATGTAAATATTTTTCACATGTTAATTAAAATTTCTTAAGAAAAAATTTTTATTAGTGTTCCACCGTGAATAGAATTTCAGCAACTAACGGACATCGAAAGGAAAACAAGGCAGTTCAGGGTAGCCTTTTTAGAAGGTAAGTGAATTCACTTACTTATTTAGTGATCTGAAATTTTAATAGTAATAAGTTGGTAAAATTTTTAACAGAAAGATTTCATTTTTTAAAACTTTAACATCTTTAAATATAATACAGGATAATATTGCATTCCTTAAATACGATAATATTTGGTGGCAACAATTTGAAAAGCGAAACAATGCAGAAAGTGATTTGACACAAAATACAAAAATGATATTAATAGTCCGTCTGGGCAAATTGCCCATTTTGACTAAAAAGAAAAAAAAATACGGGTTAGCAGGAGTGAGTGTGACATACTCAGAGACAGCGTAAAAAAAAAAGGTAACAAAACCTTTTGGGTTGCCATTAATATCTAAAACTTTTCAGATTTTTCTTTTTTTGGCAGTAGTGTAGCTTTTTTTTTTTTTTTGAGGGGGGAGGCAGGAAAATTTTTTGCTTAAGGGTGCAAGAGTTCTGTTTACACCATTGGCTGTTCAGGATCACCTAAACAACCAGAATATTTAATACTTCATATGGATGCTCTTCTGAACTAAACTCCACTGAAAATGTCTGGGATGCTTTGGATAGGCGACTTGCTAGTCAAAAATATCCTACAAGAACTCCATTAATCCGTGCATTGACAGAGGAATGGGATTAATTGCTTCAACAGATGCTGGATACTGTTGTGCCAAAACACTTTTTTATTTATGATGTTTTGAAACCTTTAGTATTTTCCTAACAATAAATGCCCTTTACCCTAATGTCCAAACAGTGTGACAACAATATTTTATCCTGTTAAGTCTCTACCCTCACTTAATGTTATAATACATTGCAATTTGAGATCTGTCCTATTTGTGCAGCAGTTTATATGTGTTAAAACTTTTGTAGTGAAGTGCTAGTAAAACTTATAAATGCATGAATAAGCCAAACAGTGTTTGCTACATATGCATAAAATCTAGAAAATCTGCCATTACTCTTGCACTTTGGATACAAAGCTGGAGACCAAGACTGACTTTCTAATCCTCCACACGCACTGACACCATCTGTTCCTTTATCTTTCATACATAAGAGAAAGTCACCATGTGAAGTCTGGAATGTCAACGATATGGTGAGAATTTACTTATCATACTGCAAACTGCTTTTCTGTTTAGTCTTACCCACTTGTGAGGAATTTCCCAAATCTACTCTCAGTCAGATGCCAATTACATATGGTCCCAATACACACCGACTTAAAAAGAAAAAATATTTAAAAGGGACAGTTTTTTTATCTCCTGTTCTACTCAGCCAATTGTGTTTTTCATGTTTTGAAAGCATGACTTAGGATATATATTAGATTTACATATAATGTTGCTTTAACGTACATATTTTGACAGAAAAATGGACTTTTCTCAAAATGACATGGCAATTTTATTTTTTCACATTTCGATTCTACTCCTCAAATTATGCCAAAGTGCCATGTTTCGTAAAAATCACAACAGCAGTTATTTTTTAAAATTAGCAATGAAAATTTTAACCCTGCAATGTTAATTAAATTTTGCATATATTTAATAATATCGACTTTTAAATTAAACTTAATTTTTTCTATAATTCAAAAATTAGTTTTAATTCAAATAAAACTCAAACATTTCTTCTGATTAATTTTAAAATTTGCATTTTTTAGTAATTTTTCAAAAAAAAATGAGTCATAACCTACACAATTTTTACCATCATCTCAAAGGTATAGGGTTCCAAGTTTTCAACTTTATGCCGAGTTTGGGATAAGCGTCGACCAATCAGAGCGAAGCTAAAATGAAGCGACTTTCTTTAGACGATTTCGCTGTCACATCGAAGGCGATGTTTTTTTTTAATATGGAACACATCGTCCGTAACAAATAATGAGTAATGTAAATCGTATCCGAAACAAATAAAGAGTTGATATTGCAAGAAATCTATGATGATGAGATGCATTTTTTAATGAGTTTTTCAATTTATATTGAAAAATATGGATGAAACTCGTAAAGCGAAAGTTAAGCTCAGGATTATGCACGCTGTGTATGATCCTGTAGATGACTGATCCCATCCAATATTTTTCATTTTATTATGAAAATTCTTTAAAAAATGCATGCTTGCAAAAATTTTATTTTTTCTGTGTAAATTATTATTATTACTTTCTTTCTGTCTATAATTTTTTTAAAATTATTACTATAATTTTTTTCCTGTTTAATTATTTTTGTATTTAAGAATAAATTTATTAAAAAAGCTGGAAATATTGTATTGCTATTTGCTTCAAATGCTGATTTTCTTTCCAAAACAAACTTCATGAATTAATTTTACTAAAACATCAAATCAATATATATCAAGAATCTGCTGTTTTTTTTTAACAGTAAAAATATTACTTTAAAAAAAAAAAAAATTATTTTCACTTATTTAAGAATAGTCACAATAGTCAATTCAATGGTGTAAGCTTTGTATAAGTAATAAAAGATTAATCTTTTGAGAAAATGCTCTTATGAATTCCAAGAAGGAAAAAATGTAGTGAAATATCCTTAAAACAACAGTCAACAGTCTAGACAGTTTTGTCTCCTGTTGAAGTTCTGTTTTTTGTTTTTAATTACGTTCTCCATGAAAGGAATTTACTTTTAATGAAACTAAATAGCACACATAATTCATAACATGGACTATAATTTAATGAATAGTATTTGTTATTATTATCCACTCTTTATTACTATCATTTGAATGGAATTTTGATCATTAAATTCATGCTATTTCTCTGGTAGAAATTCCTGGATAAGGTATGAATGTTTATAATTTTGATGTATTTGAAGACTTGGGTACCTAAAATTTGTCAATGTGAAATTACTTTTGAGATTTGGTCGTAAATAGAAATGACAGCATATGTTGAAATTAAATTCAGGGGTGCGGCTTATACATGCAAATTATTAAAAATAGATGTATACAAACAGCTGGCAAGACAGCAAAATGTATTTAATGATTGAGCATAAAATACATTGTTGGGTGAACGTTTCCTAGTATTGTACTAGTTGTGGTTGCTGGTCATTGTGACCAGTTGTGGGATACTAGTACTAGTGATAATTGATACTGGTAGTGCAGCAAACTACTATAGTGATCGACAGGGACAGTGAATAAGGAGTGCTAAGCACACATGTTTCACTGTCACAGAAACATGTTCCTTTTGATTGAAAATTAAAAATAATAATAATAATAATAATAATAATGTATGGTAAGTACTGTTTTTAGCTTAACTGCTTTCACACCTGCAAAATGGAAAAATATTATATACAGGCTATCTGTTAGTTATCCTCAAGATTTTTTTTAATTAGGCATATTTAGAATATCGTATTTCTCCTAAGAGAAATTATATATAAAAATTGAAGAAGGTTTTATATAGTATATAAATATGCATGTGCATGTTTATAGTATAGAGAGTACTACAGTACAATGCAGAAATATTCCATACTGCTTTGCACAGAAAGATATGTGCCAACCAAGTATTGGTCTTTCAAAAAAATATCTCTAGACCATTTCGTTATTTTTCTTTTTTACCTTCTTCCGTTGCCTCTTGGCTAATAAGAAGGGCAGATAAAAGAGCATTCTGTTGAGCCAGTAAAACTTTGTGGTGAGCTAAAAAAAGCCATGACACAAAATAACGAAAACAAGCAGAGCGAACGCGGGAAATCAATCGAGCTAGAAAACAGCGCGCAAAAGGTTGTAGACACATCCACGCATGCGCAAATTTAGCTTCTCTCATTGGCCACAGCTTAGACCCCCGTTCTCGCAGGTGTGAACGGATGTCCCGTATTTTATGCCCTTATGACTATGCCTCTATGCGCTTACGCCCTCTGAACGCAGCTTAGAAACTCTATTGAGCCAGTGTCTGATCTTTGAACAGATGACGTACCGTTAAAGGGCTCTTGGAACGCTAGGGGACACAACATGAGTTTTGCTCAATCCAGCCTCATTAAGCATATGTGCAGCAGCAGAATGGCTAAATCATGTTCCTGTGACAGCTTGAAGGTCTAATCTCTTGTAGTGGCTCCATGGTTTCTTCAAACAGAAAACTGTTATCTGATGCAGTTGTTGCTCTTGGTTGCCCTTGACAGGCTATCTATCAACTGTACCAATGCTTAAAAAGCGGCTTCAAACTCTTTATGTATATGACACTTTGAGGCATATTCAAATCTTGGACGACCTCCATTTGTGTTTGACACTGCCTCAGCTCTACCAATTATTCACCACTTTTAACCTTCACTTAAATTATGTGTTATGCCATAAGAATATCGATCACTCTCAGAAACCACATTCACTTATACACTATAGACTATAGACTATAGACCAAACACTATAACACTATAACACTATAGACCAAAATTCCAACATGCATCCATTGCACACCTCATTGTCAATCACCGAATCTGCATATTTCCAGCACTAATATATGCGTGGAAGTGCAATTTTGTGTTCAATTGTATTTAATTAACATACATAATTATAGCATTAGGCATTGGTTGCAAATTTAATTTAGTAAGCATAGTTTTTCTCATTATCCTTTAATTTTAATGATCAGTGTAAAAGAGGACCTGAATATATGCCATAACATCAAAGGTCTTTGCCTTTATGAATATATCACATAAAACAAAAGACTGAAGACTTTTTCCAAGTCCTTTTGAAAACAGTTTTGCTAGCTAACAGTATGTCTTGCCTATGTCATTGATCTTAATGAAACTTATGACAGCATGAAAAAAATTCTTTGATACCTGGAATATGAGAGATTTGTATAGCAAGTTTGCTGGGACTTTCGGGTTATTGCGGTTTTGATGGGTTTATATGAGGTAGGATCCAAAGTTTCGCAGGCCTAGTCCACAACCAAAAAAATATTTTGAATTAAATTGCAGAAACACATCCTCCTTTGAAATAACATGCTTGTGCAACAATACACTTTTGCCAGCGCCTGTAAAGTTCATCGATGCATGTCTGGAATGCATTTTTCGCCATGTCCTTTAATTCAGCCTGCGATGCACATTTAACTTCATATGAAGATTGAAATCGACGACCCTGTAAGCGTCTTGCCAGTTCAGGAAATGGGAAACAATCGCAGAGTGCGAGATCAGATGAGTAAGAAGAATGACGCAAAACAGTTGTTTTCGTTATCGCAAGAAAGTCATTGATGAGGTCATTGAGTCAGGATTGGTGAGCAGGAGCGTTGTCCTGCAACAGCACCCATGACTGGCTCAAGCCCACATTTTTTATCTCTTCTTCCAGATCGACTCATGCAAACAACGCAAGATTTCGGCATAGAGTCCTTTGTTCACAGTGCGTCGTTCAGGGATAAATTCCAGATGCACAATGCCCAGGATATCGAAAAATACCTCTAGCATGACCTGCCCTTTAAAGCGATCTTGGCAGAATTTCTGCTTCCGTGGAGATTGTGGTGATTTCGACGTTGCCGATGCTCTCTGGTTTGCCAGTTCATACAAAAAACACCATTTCTCATCTGCAGTAACAATTCTGCCAAGCAGGGAAATATCTTTGTTAACAGCCAGGATTAAGTCTCTCTCCATTTCCATTTGAATTCCCTTTTGGTCTAAGTTTAACATGTGGGGACCAATGTGGTGACACGCTCTATGCATGTTAAGATGCTTAGTCAGTATCCGCTGACATGTTGCATCTGATAGACCAACTGATTCTGCTATTTGGCAAATTGTTTGCTGCCTGTTCGCACCCCGTAGGCACCTTTTTGATGTTTTCATCGGTGTGCGAAGTCACAGGACAGCCACAGCATTTGTTGTCTTCAGCAGTTTCCCTGCCTTTTCTGAAACGACGATGCCACTCAAAAGCTTGCGTTCTTGGTAACATTTCAGTTCTGTACACATGCTTCAACATTTCGAAAGTCTCCGTAGCACTCTTTCCCAAGCAAACACAAAATTTGATATTTATTCTTTGCTCAACTGACGCCATTTCTTTCTATTGTCGATTACTAAATGCACCTGCCTACAAAAAATGCTGTTGCTGCGAGCTTTTGCAAATCACATTTAGAAAAGAAGGAGAATGTAGTAATGCAAAAACATTTTCGTAGTCGCACTATAGCAAAAAATTTTTATATTGTACACTCAGTCCGGAACTTTTGAATCCTACAACGTAAAACAATAGAAAATTCTGCTATCTGCTGTGTGTGTGAGAAACCGTTGGGACAAGGATTAAAATTAGGAAAAGAAGATCTAATTTACATCCTTTCACACTTGGTATCAAACATATTACTTCATAGTTTCTTATAAGCCTAACAGAAATAACTCTTTCCCCACTTCATATCATATTGATAAAGAACATTGCAAGGGCAATTCCATACTTTTGCAAAAAATTCTACATCTAAGATATGATAAAAGAAGGTGTATTTATTAGACCTTACCCATGATTTGTTATGTGATTATACAGTTTGAATAGAAACATAGTAATGGTTAATAAATGGCTTGGAATGAAGTTCAACTAGTGCGCCAGGGTTTACTATGGAACAGAGTAAAGAATCTTGGGACACTGTTATAGAAATGGGATGTTCGTACTCACTAAAAAACATGTCATGCCTTCTCATTTGAATTTCTTTACTGGCAACAGTGGTAATGTCAGGGATGAGCACAGAAAATGCTTTCATCACCAGAGAGCAATAAAGGACAAATGAGAAATCAAGTGTAGCAATATTAATTGGTTTCTGTTAAAGCATTATGAATAATGGGACACAAGTTAGCTACAAATAACACAATAAGCATAGGCATTTTCAAAGCCTTATACAATTATAATGTTTAAACATTCATTAGTGTTTTGTTACTAATTTGTCTTCTAGTAAAAAAAAAAAAATTTGGGGGGGGGAGGAATACGAATTTTAAAAGTTTGCAGCAAATTCTAAATTAAAACAATTCCCTAAAAAAAGTTCATATTCATGTTCAAGATGCAAAACTTAATAAGAAAAAGCTTTTATAATTGCTGTACCCCCCAAAAAAAGAGAATACTTGTAAAACACTACTTATTATTAATAATTACACACTTTAGACTAAAATAGGAATTATACTTTGTCAGTGCATTTTTTATCTCCACAGATAGGCAGAATAAGGGTTACATGAGTGAAGCATTTGCCTAAAGTGAACAGTTTGAAAAGGTGGCAAAACATCAAGTAAAAATTACTTACTAAGTTTTTATAATCTGCACACTGTACAAGAAACAAAAATTTATTTTTCTGTCTCAAGCGATTATATACTTTAAAGTTTATCATTTTGAAAAGAATATTAATACAGAAAAAAAAAAAAATTACCTTCACATTCTTTTAACTTCAGATTATTTGCCAATTCTTCAGCATTAACTTTCTTGGTGACAAATATCAAGACACTGCCAGCTAATGATAAATATAAAAATTAAGTGTATATACTGACTTTACAATTAATATTTAAAAGTTGCTACATACATAATTAGGTTTAATTCCAGAACTACTAAAATTATTTAAAAATATCACATTCCATTTTTTTAAAACAATATATCACGCCAATGTATTTTTTTTTTTTTTCCATTTGGTCCTACATTTCTTTTTTGAACAGTATTAAATAGCAGAAAACATTAAAAAATATATAAGTGTTTGAAAAGAAAATTCAGGTTTGAATAAAATTAAAAAGAAATATGAAATGAAAATCTACGTGTTTTTAAGAAATCTATATGCTACAAAATTCCATCATTAAGATTAAATTACATTTTTAGTGGAGAATTTTTTTAAGGCACTAAAAAATTTAGGGAAAAACTTTCCACTACTGATACATTAAAATAATATTAGAAACTATTATATTTACTACACTAACAATATTAAATAATACTCACTGCAAAATGGTTTTTTTTTTTTTTTTTTTTTTTTTTTTTATGACAACTTCTGAAGTTTATTTGTAGCGGACAAATATCAGTAAATGAAAAAAAATATAACATTTTCCCAATGTGTAAAAAAATTAACAGCTCTTACATAAACAAACAAAAAGGGTTGCAGGGACATTTGGAAAATAATCACAAAAAACTGGAAGTGACTTTAAGTCATTAAAAGTTATAGCTTAAGTTAAAGCATATTTCCAATTTCTATAACCCATTTTATGTAAATTTTGAAGTTATTTAAACCAAGAAGTTTTCTTTTAATTTCTAACTTTCATTATGTTATGTTTTTTAAATACTATTCGTTTAATACAAAAGAAATGTAGAGACTGCAATTTTATATCAACTTCTCCTGAATATTATTAACATTAAGCAGAATTAATCAAGACAAGTTAAGAGTTTAAGTATTAGAACTCCCCATGTTTAAAAATTCTCCCTGTTGATGTAAGTTTTTAATTTTTTTATCAATTTTGATGAATTTCAATTCAGGATGTTGAGAGAGATATATAATTTTTATGTACTAATAGTTAACTGTTGTTCTATTTTTCATCTTTTATTAATTTACTAGTGGATTAGTTGAAAACTTTTGATATTCGCTGGGCAAAGAGAACTTAATCAGTCTCATATTTCCGAGACAGCTGTTCTGGTACATTTCAAAAGCAATTCTTGAACAAATATTCAAAGTTCAAATTTTGATATTACAAAATGTACTTTTACAATGAAAATAATGTAAAACCACTTCATCTCAAACTCGATGGAGATATTATGGGGTGTATTATTATAACATGTATATTACGTCATATATCAAGCTTACAATACTGCACTACTAGATTGAATCTAACTTAGCGCACATTATATTTTTAAAATATGCTATGTGGATTCACCATAAATCAATCTTAGAGTGAAATAAATGATGAAAGCTCATTTATACCGAAGCCAATGCTATTAGTACAGTAAAAGATTGCGAGGTTGTGCGGATTTTAGGATTTTGCGGATTTCAGGACAGAAAAGATAAATCATAATATTCAGATTAAAACAGCAAAATAAATAAGGCGTATTAGATACATTTAATTAAATTATTTTAAACACTATTGCAATCACTTATTATATGCATTAAATTATTATTACATATATAAACTGATTATATTATTTATTGTACAGTCAAAAGTCATTAATTCGGACACCCATAATCCGGAACTCAAAGCTACAAACTTTATGTGCATGCGTCGCATTGACGCATATGCGTAAGACCTTTACGCCTGCGAATATGCGTGTGCACATGCGCGTAATACGTTTACGTTTGCGCGTTTAATGTATAACGGACGGTATAAGCTACGCTAAAATTATCTAATTCAGTTAATTTTGCAAAATTGCGGTTGTTCTTAATCTTCGAATTGGAATCTGGCTTATTATTTTTGCAGACTGTTAGAGCAATTTTATAAAAGTAAGCTTGAACTTTTCGATTATGTCAAATAGAATTTCCGATATATATTACTAATATGTAAAGGATCTACAAAGTGAAAGTCTTTTAGAAGTCCATTAAACAAAAAGTGGAATTGCTGCAAAAAAATGGATAAAGGCATATCCTTCGTTCTCCAAACCATTCCGAAATCTGTTATTATCAATTTCACGCTGCTCTGCGGCAGGGGGAGAAAACACCGAAACGCTGTTGGGCGCAATAAATTGGAAGTTACTGTCAGCACTATCTATCCTAAGGCAGATGTTTTTTTATTTGGCTATAATTCCTTACTAAATGTAGTTTATCTCGATGCACTCCGTCTTTGATATGATTTAATCAAATTCCTTGTCATTATAATTCCGCTTCCGATAAGAAGAAAGTGACAGAGGTTATTGAAAACGAAAAAAAAATATCGATTGACAAAAATTAGTTGGTATTCTCGACACAGCATTTATAGGACTTTAAGCAGAACTTTGGTATTGTCTGTTCATAGAATTAAAGAGAAAGTATTATCACCATTAAACATATAACACTAAGCACCCTTACATTACATGAAAGAAATGTTTAATAAGTAAATAAATAAATATTAAGCTCTTTTTTTTTTTTTTTTTTTTTTTTTGTAAATTTTGATACTTTTTAGATCATAATTGTTCTTTATTTCATAAATTACGGTTTCATATTTTTAATTTTATAATTTCTGCATGCCATCTTACCAGATTTAAACTGATGATCTATAATGCGGAAAAATTGATAATCCGGAATCGCCGAAGTCCCGACGAGTCCGGATTAACGACTTTTGAATGTATTATACCTACGCAGCATCAAGGTTTGCCGATTTCGCCTCATGCAAAGATTTCTGGTTTCGGATTCCAGTGTTAGAATCACTGTTGCTGTAAAATTTCAACAGCTTTTCTTTAATTTTCCGTATATCATACACAATGGTATAGCAATTCCATACGATTCTGCTATAAACTGAGGAGTAGCACCTGTCTCCATCTTTTGCAGAATTTGCACTTTTTGCATTCCCATCAATGCAAGGTTACAAGCAATAAAATCATGAGTGTGTTTCTAATCTGTAAATGTATTAAAAGGGCTGAAATTTAAAATATTCTTAATTTATCCACAAAATATCTGAATAAAAAAAAGGCAGCTCTAAATAATCTCATGTAATAACAAAGCTCAGAAAATACAACAACGTGAATCGTGAACTTGAAAGAAGAGTTGAGTGAATCGTCTGCTTTCTTACCTCGATGCAGATTAGAGGAGAAAAATTTTTTATCATTATGTCAGTAATTTGGTATTTCCATTATGACTCATTATTATTTGGTAATTATGACGTCATTATTCGGTAAGAATTTTTTCTTCGATATTTTGTACTCATTGTTGCATTTCCGGAACCTCATAAACTGAATGTTTATATTTTGAGAGACAATGCAGATTTCAGGAGTTGGCAGATTTTCGGTATTTGACTGTATAATAGAAACGAGCTCTTGCTCAAAAGCATGACTATTTGTACAAATCCCATGTCTAACCACTGATATTATCCCATGTGTTCAAGAATGGAGGGGAAGGCAAACGCTATTTTTGAATTCACAACATTGCATAAACTGTTGTCATAAATTATGCAAAATATTGTATAGCTTAGACAGCATAAAAAAATTCCTTTTCCTTCCAAAATGAATGATGATAGTATTTCTATTCTCAAGAGTATATGATAAGAAAAATAAAAAGAATGTGCTGTAGCTTTAGACAGTCCAGAACACAACAATGAATGCTCTGTACAAGAGAAGGTCAGTAGTCAGTCATAATTGTATTATTTCAATAATTACTTACACACTTGTCCAGCCACATTAGGTTTCATCTTAAACATTATCATCATTATGCAAAGTATTTACCTCAGAAGTTTTTTTCAGTGGACAAACCAGGCTATTGTTATTTATATAATGTACAGTACTTTTCTCGAATCCATTACTTCATACTCTGCGCTGTTCAGTCTGTTTCAATCTGAACAGGATGCCCATTTCAGTTTTCACCATAAACTTTGGAATAGCCTTGAGAAAATTTCTCAATTCACTTGTGCATGACTCAACAAACACTTCTTAACACACACTTCTTTTTATAAACAGGAAACACTCCTTTATAAATATCTTCCATAAGAAGGCTTTTTGCCCCCAAAATCGGATAACAGTGCACTGTTCCTCCTTTGTCCAATCATCCAGTTCTTCAGCATTTTCGAATTGAACTATGCATGTCCAACTGATACTTAGTAACTAATAAAATAAATATCATGAATTAGAATGTTTGCAAAATACTAACTGCCTTTTTCACACATAGCATGCCAATTTGTCATTTACTCAATGACTTTCTCTAAAATCTTCTTACAAAAAATTACAAGGAGAACTTCTTATTGGCATCAGATATGTGTCCAGTTAGTGATTTAAAATACTTGGATCATACAGAAATAATCGACACAACGGCTCTCACAACGAAACTATTACACTACGTGAAGGGTAAACAAGTGAAATAGACACAAGTGGGCATGGGCTACTCAGAATGCATAGATGGAGCTGGCCGCATTGAATGATACAAGTCCCTTTTGCCATCGTCATTTAGAGCGTGGATAGCAATGATGGAAGGTAACGTTGGACAGCGTAGTTCCTATGAAAGGAAGGGATACAGGGTAGTGATATCCATCATCGCATTGTGTTGGCGTGCGGGAACAAAGCACCCTCAAAGTGAACCGTATCCCGTTGGTTGGCCAAGTTCAGCAATGGAGTGGAGACCGCACCCAAAGGTTTCGGCGCAGGATGCAACATCGCATACACAGCAAATGTGGCAGCCATGTCGGATTTGATCATGGTGCATAACATTCAACAAGATGCAGGATGAGACAGGGCTTGTGCAAGGAATAATACAGACAATTGTACATGGTGATTTGGAAATGAAAAATGTGTGTGTAAAGTGGGTGGACTTCGAACCAAGACCTCGGACTACGCCTTCCTTGACAAGATGAAGGAAACAGTCAGGGCCAACATGTTTAATCTTCTACCGAACTGCATGCAATTGTCCATAGGTGGTGCACCAACACCCCGCAAACTGGTTTACCAAAGCCCTTCTGTACGTCACCAGCCAGATGGCAGAAGTATATTGACATATGCGGGGATTATTTCTAACTGATGTACTATCAGTTTTTTGTTAATAAACTGTATTCTGCTCTGTGGCAGTATTTGTGTCATTCATTTCTGTACGACCTAAATATTTCTTCCACTAACAAGAAACATTGAAGATAACATTGAGTCTACTGCATAACCTTGTTGAATGCTTCTATTTTCTATCTATGCACAGAGTTTTCAATAATGGAATAGTTCTTCTATATTAATTGGCTAAAATTAAAAAAGACTGAAAACCCTGAATATGGACATAAAAATCAAAGGAACAGAAGACATAAAAAATAGCCTTCTTGTTCGTATAATAATTAAACTTCATTATGTCATTTTTGAATGCAACAGCAATTATGAAATACAGAATTCCAATAGATAACAATACCAAACTAACTATATGTCACTCTCCCTCTCTCTTGGGTAAAGAGTATATCATAATCTACTTTTTTATATAACTTAGAATATTAATTGGTGGTACAGATTTAGCCTGGACTGTCAGAAAGATCAGAAAGCAGTCTATATTTTTAAGCCTGGACTGTCAGAAAGATCAGAAAGCAGTCTATATTTTTAAGTCCCAATGTAATTCACTAAATAAATTTCTAGACTGAAAATATCAGGTTTTAACGAAAGTTTTCCATCACCATAAATATTATTAATGATTAGAAAATATTGTCTGCTCAAATAGTTTGCACTGGCATAATTAATCGTATTTTGTCAAACGATTTCTGGCATTTGAAAGAAAGATACTTGCTTTAAAACAACACTGTGAAATTTGTACAAAAAATATTGCTATCAATAAGTACAAGGCGTCTGAAATGGAACTATCATGCTACGAAATCAGAACTATCATTTACTTCCAGTTCTGTTGCAAAAAGTCAGTAAATCATGTATATAGCTTTAGGTACTAATGTTGTATCATTTGACACTGTTAAGTTTTAATACCGAAAGTTCAAAAACAAGGACTACAACTTTGAAGAAGCAGAGTGCTCTAGCTGGTCTACTGATGTTGATGAGGCTCGCCTGCGAGAATTTGTGGAAGAAGATCAGCATGCAGACACTCAAAAGCTTGCTAAGAAGAGTTAAACGTTCCATTAGTACCATGTCCATTAGTTGTGCTAACGAAAAGATCATGCATGTGATGGGATTCCCATGGTATTATCCACAAAAAGTATTTGGAAAAAGGTAAAACTTTCGACAGTAAGGAGTACAGCAAGATCCTAGTCTCTGTTGACACTGCTATCAAGGAAAAACATCTGAATGATATCTGGGCTAAAGGATGGCTGGGGAAGCTGTGTGATGGATGCCATGTTTGATCAGGAAGTCCAAGACAGAAAAGGTGCTGTGGCTAAGTGCATTGTTGTGATGAAGCCTCCACGATTCAGTGATTGCTGGACGACATGGGGGACTCGTTTTCTGAGTCTTTCAAGTGCAGATACAGCCCGGATGTCGCTCCTTCAGATTTCTTCTTCTTCCCCTAACTGAAAAGGGTCATGAAAGGATGGCACCATGGCTTGGTTCAGGCCATTCAAGAGGCTGTAACGAGGGAGCTGAAGAGTATTCCAGTTTCGAGTTCCAGAGAGCCTTCAGTGATTGGCTGAGTTGCTGAAAAATTGGGCATATTTTGAAAACTATTAAGTTGATGTGTCAAAATTGTGAATATATTTTTAAAAAAAAACTTAGTCCTTCTACTTTCCGGACAAACCTTGTATATTGTTTGCCAACCATTTGTTTTTGATGCTGCCAAATTTCATTTTAAAGTGACACTAATTTATTCTAACAAAATTAGATTTTGGAGGGAGGACTTCAGAAAAGAAATAATGTTTCTATATTATAACAGTATCAAATTAAAATGATAAATACACACCTGACAAAAGTTCTACAAGTTTACTAGTTAACCAAACCCACTTAGCAGGTCCTGCAGGCATAACAAGAACAATCTGAGTTACATCTTCATTTGCTTCTCCCAATTCACCCTGAATAATTCGTACAGGATCCGTTAAAACATCACGAGCTAAACGCTCAATCTTTTTCTTGAAAGTAGCACTAAACATCAAAGCTATAACATAAAAATAAAATTCAGCAGATCATTAGAAATGATTTTACAGCTTTGCTTTTTGAAATATTTGTTTAATCTAAGAAAGAATATCTATATATTTCATAAAATAAAATGCACAAATATTAAATATCATACTGGATACAGGTAATTTCCATATTACACATTTGTAATACTAAAAAATAACGGGCTCTGCAGAATTCCTGTAAAATAATCCAAAGAACCAGAACAAATAACAGGAGCACATTTCAAATATATTATTCTCAATTTTGTAAGAATATTAGGCCATAGCCGGATTTTCCATATTTCTCAAACTGTATTAGCCCTCTCAGTGTTATGGCCAAAAATTTTATATAGAAGTGTGGCTTTCATATTCATTACACATGAAAAATCTCTTCTAGCTTTTCATGTATCCAATTTCAGGTTGGATGTATATTGGAAGAAAATGAATTAAGGTACAAAGTGAAATAGTCATTTCTTAACCATTATCAAGAAGATACAATTTATTTATGAGGCTTAACCCATATAGCTTACAGGGTTAGAGCAAAAGCTATAATGGGCATGGAGGTAGAAATATATAGAGCAGACACTGTGCTTCAAATCAAAGGCTGGAAAAAAAATCAGCTTTCACTCCATGCTCACTTTCTTTTATCAGGCTATCCACTTGCTCACTACAATGCAATGCTATGGGTGTCAGTGATACTTTCAACAATATTTTCAACATGTTTTTGTAATTTAAAATGACTAAACAGTTTGTTGCTCTGATACTATATATTCAGAAAGAACTGATGCATAAAAAAATAAGAGATTAGACTTAATAAAATAATTTACATTTTGCTTTCCATCACATTGTTTCTGCTTTTTTTTTTTTTTTTTTTTTTTTTTTTTTTTTTGTGTGTGTGTGTGTGTGTGTGTGTGTTAGAATTTTCTGTGCATAATCATTTCATATTGAAAATATATGTTTAAATTGGAGATAAAATAATGCTAGATATTTCAAATGTGATGTTATTCAGGAGATTTTTCTTAACTTTTTACTGGAAAATATGCATAAAATGATATCTTATAGCATGATGGAATTATTACTATTTGAGAGACTTTCTGAAAACGAAAATTTGAGTGATTTCATTTATATAATTTTAAATCACTTAAAATTAATTTTGCATAAATTTAATATTTGTATAGGCAAATAAAATCATTATATGTTAATCACTAGTTGTTGATTACAAAATATTAAGCAAATATATTTTGAGGATAAAATAATTAATCTCTATTCACTTTTTTTTTTTTTTTTTTTTTTTGTTATTACTTCTTTTTGAAAATTTTATTTTTAATAATTTATTTAAATAATTTTCAAAAACTATATAAGAGCGTTTTAAAAAAGAAAGTTATTAAATTATATGTTGAAAATGATGTTTCTCTGAAGAAATCATTATCATATTATTTATTGTTATTATTTAAGTGGAACATATTTATTTGAGGTCTTGCATGCAGCAACAATAAGTAAACATCATCTTAGGATTCGAAGTATATAATGGTGTAAAGCATTATTAGAAAAGTTAACTTTACAAAGATATAATATATATATATATATAATAAATTCTGTTTGTCAGGTACAATCACATTTTTGATAATACTGAAGAAAGAATGTTAATAATAAAAACATTCTTGATCTATCATAGAAAGGCCTCTCGAGTTTTAAAAATTTGAAATGATGTTTCTAATGAATTTTAATTCATTTAATTTCATCTTATATATTCAAAAATATGGTTATTTAATCTATTTTTTATCAACTGAATTTGAAACATCTCAGTTAAATTTGTTTTAAGAACAGCATGCATAAATATTATAAGTAATATAAATAAAACTGATTAAATATTATAATTATATATTATTAAATATTATAATTAATATTATATTCAATTATTAATATTATAATTAATTTCTTAAATTATAACAATGTATAAGTTTTCTGCTTCATAACATATTCCTTGTAAATATATTATGCATTTCTACATATATCACAAGGAAGATAACTGAGGAAGCTATTTGCATTATATGACTTCCATAGTGTTGCATCCCCTTAAAATTGTAGTATGCAACTTCAAAAAAATTCTGCTTCGTGATATATAAAACCATTTTGTATTTTTAACTTGATATATTTCATAGTTCTTAACAAGTTTTTGATAGCATGACAAGAGTATTAATGAGGTCAGTATTTAAATGCATAGAGAATAAGATACTGTGTACCTTAAACTGTCTTCACAAAACCTTAATTTTTAATTTCTGAAAAATTTCACATTTCTATTACAAATCAATACTGTTTATGTTTCATGACTTTTTTTTCTCCACTAAGCACAGAAAAAAAATTTAGAAGTTTTACAGTTTTATTTAGTCAATCTATTATTTCCTTCAATTTTTGTATGTAGCTATTAAATGACAGTTTCAATTTTAATACAGCATCTTAAAATTACTCATCCATGTTTATATAGCACTAAAGAACTTTAAAATTACATCAACATGCCTATCATTACTATTTACATACACGCTTACTGCAACCTGCTAATAGAGCTAAAATTTTATTGTGATAAGTTTAAAAGCATTTTAATAGTATGACAAAAATGGCAGAATTAGATGGTACAATTAAACTAGTTGTTGTATTAATTATTTCTTTTCGTACCTTTTACAATACCATCAGTGTTAATACTGTATGTAGAATTGACAACGTTCTTGTCATTCTTGCAGACAGTATTAATAGTCAAACAAATGAACTGTGCTGTGGGATTTTGAAGCTAAAGATTCATGCATAGTATCATAATGCAAATGCTTCTATGTTATCTCATAGAGGCATGGTGGAGTGTAACGTAATAAAAGTGATGATTACTTTTAACCATGCTGAGCTACATCCATAATGCATATTGCTGAACTGCTCATAAAAACCACCCAAGGTCTGTTGACAGGCATTAAAGCTTTTGTTTCATAAAAATGGGAGGAATTAAAAAAGTTATTTTATCATTTCTTCTTCATTTTTTCATTTCATGCATTCTTAAATATTTGTATTTATTTTCATATCTAAAAATGGTATTTTAGTGCTGTCATGTAAGAAATAAATAACTAATTAAAATTGATATAATGAATATTACAATGTGCAAAATTAAGAAAATTTGCAAATTATATAGCTTACATGAGAGCTGTAAAGCTATTTTTTACAAAAAGAATTGAACCAAAGGTACTAATTATGTCATTGATGAATCATGCAGATATTCAGAATAAAATACATATAATATAAACGTGCTTGCGGAGCTGTGGTTGTAGAGGGAATATAAGTACATGAGGATTTTTCGGTAATTTGTATGCTCGTACTCTTTCACAACTTTTGCTGTATTTTTCGTAGGAGTTGGGTAAATTTTATAAGGTATCAGGTAAAACGAGTAGCTACGAATGCATGGATGGAGGAATGAGATGGAGAATTGTCAGTAGATTGGAGGGAGGGCAATCCCACGTGCAAGTTTATGGGTAATGTAACAGCCAGTGTCATCTTCAATTTGTGGAAACAGTTTCAAGACAATGGATCTATGCTGAGAAGACCTGGGCAAGGTCGACCGAGATCCACAACAACAAATGAGGATCGTTATTTGGCACTTTCAGCATAGCTTCACAGCTCTCATGTAAACTATATGCTGCCCCTGGAGCCAAAGTTTCATAGTCTATAGATGCTCAAATGCTTTGTGATATAACAGGGTTTCTACACATTTCTGCACATGAAAATTAAGTACTTTTAAGGACCATGGATGAAAAAAAATTAAGGACCCATCAACAAATCGGAACTGAATAAATTCAATTAAAGATATTAGCTATGCTTGAACTTCACTTTTGTGATACCATCCTAAGAATAAAATAGGTCCACAAGCAGAATGCATTATTATTAAACATAATTGTAAAACAAAATTGAATATAAAATCACTTTACAAAATTTATCAGTTAGCATTAAAAATTTTACCCTTGAAATGGTTGGACATATTTGAAAGAAGATTAGTGACATTTTACTAACAGCTTTATCTTGATTTTTTTTTTTTTTTTTTTTTTTTTTTTTTGTTGTGTGTGTGTGTGTGTGTGTGTGTGTGTGTGTGTCTCATTTTGTCACGTACTTGCACAGTTTAGAAGCAGGTAGATGTTATGTCAAACTGCATAGGTTAAAATGAGAAGTAAAACCATAATCAGTATGATTCGTAACAGAAGGCTGACTGTTGCCACCGCTGCTGCTTGCCTAGAGAGAGATCTGCTGATCAGAAAAAACCTGAAAGCTTGATGTAGGCACGGTTGGCAAGTTTTGAAAGTTAGTTGTGATCTGCCTATCTGATGCACTTAGTATCATAACTTCGTGTAGAGCTCCTGGGGTTATAACCCAGTTAATATGCTTTAAGGTTCAAATAAGCCACTAAAGCATCAGATGTGATAAGCTGTTTCGTATTAAGTCTCACTAGATGCAAAGAATTAAGTTTTACATTAATTTTTACATTTTTGTGCTGTATCTTGCGACTGCGGTAAAGATAAATGAAACGCAATAACTCACTTTAATGTGCAGAGATAACTTTTAAGGGTGATCAGTTAGATACTAATAATTAAATTAGCTAGTTAAATACTCTTATCATTATAGACTTACACAGCCACTATTAAATTTATTTTTTAAAAACATTTGTTAAAAAAACACTCTTAAAGGATATTAAGATAACTACACATTGAAAGCTACAAAGCATTTCCGTTTTGTAGCAAGAATACTCCACAAAATATTTCTGTATCATTTTAATTAAGCCTTTCCAGATATTCTAGCTAATTTATAATTTCTTTCTCTTTAAGCATCTTTCCTAACAATTAGAAATTTGTTTAATTATGCAAACCATGCAAATTTTATTCAAAATTTGTACCAAAATTCCCACTAGTTTCTATGTTTTATCTTCTAACTTGTCAATCTCTCAACTATGTACCTATGAGGTTTTATTTGATCT